AAGCTGAGTAGCAGATCCTGCAGATGGTGTAGCATTGCTGGGCTGCACCATGTCCTTCTTCAGCCCAGGAGGAAGGCATGTGGATATTGGATATCGCTGGACTCCCATCTTCATCTAGCCTCTGGTAAGGGATCATAGGAGTTGCAGTCCAACAATATTTGGAGGCCACAGCTTCCCCACCTTGGATATCGATGGCGTAGTGATTGTTTTAACGGCCAAATTAAACACCCTTTCAATGCACAAAATGAGGCTGTCAAGGGAAAGACTGGAGGCTAGGGTTTTGATGTGGCGGTGAAGATAACGTTGATCTTGATGCTGAGAATGTGATCATGACTAATGTAGCTAGAAACCGTGCATAGATATAAGCATCACCTTGGTGGTGGTATCAAGCATTATTTTCCCCCACTTGCAGAATCCTTTCATTAGGTAACCATGTTGTGGTTGTTTTATGCCTTCAAGTCATCTCTGATTTATGGCAACATTTGATTTCCTGCTCAGCCATGAAACCCACCGGGTGATCTTGTGCAAGTCACATGCTCTCAGCCTCAACTGAAGGCAAGGGCAAACCTCCCCTGAACAAATTATGCCAAGAAAACCCTATGATAGGTCCACCTTAGGGTTGCCAAAAGTCGGAAATGACTTGAAGGTCCACTGCACACACAAGTCAAACCTGTCATGGGGCTTTCGTGGCAAGTTTCTCCAGAGAGATTCACCATTGCCCTGGTGGCGCAGTGGTTCAATGCCTGTATTGCAGCCACTCATTCACAAACCATAAGGTTGTGAGTTCAATACCAGCCAGGGGCTCACGCTGAACTCAGGTTTGCATCCTTCTGAGGTAGCTAAAATGAGTCCCCAGCTTGTTGGGGGCAATTGGCTTACAGTTGTAAACAGCTTAGAGACTGCGTAACGCATTATGAAGCGGTATATAAATGAAGCTGCTATTGCATTGCCAATCTCTGAGGCTGAGAGTGTGTGACTTGCCCAAGGTCACTCAATGGGTTTCATGGCTGAGCTGGAATTGGAACCCTATTCTCCAGAGTCCTTGTCCAACACTCAATTGACTTTTCTTAACATATTTAATTATGCATTCTATGGATTTATTCAAAGGAGACTTATCATATGGGTTTATTTTGATACATGGTCATCATTGGCTTCATGGCAACTCTGGCTCCAGGTAACCATATAGAAGCAAATAAATAAATAAATCTATAATACTCTTCTTCCCTCCCAAGTGGTGTTTTTGTTGCTATCACCCAGTTAAATGAATGCCTACACACCAATTTGGCCAATCTCCATCACGCCTAGGACACATCTGTAGTTGGATGTAGTGCTTTCAGCCCCTGCAGATCTTCAAGCAGAGAGAGGCTGTTTGCAAAGAAGGAGCTTTGTTAGTCTTTTGCAGCATAAAAAGGAGGAAGGAAGAGGGAGGGGGAAAAAAGAAGGAAAGGTGGCAGCTCCTTTAAGGCTAACTTGTTTTTATTTTCGCATGAGCTTTCATGGATATAAAGCCATATCTTAGGATTCAGTACTGGACAGCCCTCTGCTGGGGATACTGTAGCCCTGGATTTCATGCATCAAAGAGAAACACTGGCTAGTTGGCCTCCAAGGATCCCGACAATTCAGTATTTTTGTTTGAGATGTGGGGAAGATGAAGGTAGGGATTCAAGCACTGAGGCACTTTTGCAGATGCTAAAATGAGATCCCAGGTGCTTTCAGAGGAAGGAACCGGCAAAACTGCCTCTGAGTACCACTATGAAATTCATGAAGTCACCATAAGTCAGTAGGAGGCACATTGCACAAAACCGAATACAGATAAATACATGGATGGTGGAATGAAATATTGGCGAGAGCTTGGGAATGTTACTTTTTTGATCTTGCAGCATCCAGGAGTTGTAGTCCAGAAAAAGCAACTCTTCCAAACTCTAACTGTTCTTGCTTGCCCTGCCTCCTAACTGGAAATTTATATGCCACTTTGAGAAAAAGCAGGATATAAAGCAAATAATAAATAAATTCATACATAGGCATCTATACATGTGCACCCCAGCATGCTTGGCTTCTGGCTACATTATCCATTCTTTGCAATAGCAACAAAACAGAGATTATATATAGTGCATTCAGTGCCTACAAATGTTGGGATTCATAAACACACAGACCTCCTGTGCAGAAAATATACATGCCTTATTTATGTATAGAGGATGGCTGGTATGAGTATGAGTGTGCTGATCTTCCACTCAATAAAATAAAAATGAAAGCAGAGGATTGACATAGAAATTACTTGGATAGTTTGCTGTTAAAGTCCTCCTAACACATTTTTCAGTATAGGTTCCATGTTGGAATTACTCGTTGCTTAACTTTGCTGACATTCAACAAATACTCCTATTTCTGTTCTCTTAATTAGAATAAAACAAACAAGTAATATTTTATATTTTCAGGATTACATCCCTAAATTGCATGTTTCCAAGTTGTATCACATGCGCTGGCTTCTGATTTGTTTCTGGGCACAAATCAGGACGCTGGTGCTTTCCTCTAAAGTCCCAAATGGCATAACTGACGGTTAAATTATATGATATGCTCTGTACATATTTTAGAAGAGCTGTTCCCTCAAGTGGCAAAAAAACCAGATGTTTGTCACAGTATGTGGTTTCCCTCACCTGCTTGTCACACATTTGGCGTGCCTTCTTTTGTGGTTGGTTATTGGAAGCTAAACACAGGCTTAATTTGAAAGCCTCGCTGCTGAGGTATAACATGGTAAATATAGGAATTGTTCATTCCCTGAATCTGTAGTTTGACCCTGAAAGACCTTATGTATAAATCCAAAGGATGGGATCAACTTCTGAGGCACAACTAAAGAGGTCTGACTGGTGCGAAGATGGACTAGGGTCTTCTTTTATGGCATTCTGCTCCAGGGCAAGTCAAATACCTTCAACTTCAACTGACCCAATGACTTGTAGGTGGATGGAAAAAGCACTTTTAAAAATCCTACCCAACTTCATTGTGGTTAGCTGCCTTCGAGTTGACTTTGACTCATGGTGACCCCATGAATGAGACACCTCCAAGACCCCCTGTCCTCAGGTGCTCAGCTCAGGTCTTCAAGTTCAGGGCCATGATCTCCTTGACTGAGTCTTATCCATCTGGTACCCGGTCTTCCTTTCTTTCTGTTTCCCTCTACCTTTCCTAGCATTATTGTCTTTTCTTATGCCTTCTCATGATGTGGCCAAAGTATGACAGCCTCAGTTTGGTCATCTTGGTTTCCAGGGAGAGTCCAGACTTGATCTATTCCAGGACTCCTTTATTTGGCCATCCATAATACCCTTAGCACTCTTCTCCAGCACCATATCTCAGATGAGTTTGTCTTCTTTTTGTCGGCTTTTTTCACCATCCAAATCTCACATCTGTACATGGTGATGAGAAATACGATGGCTTGGATGATCCTAACTTTGGTGTTTGGTTGAACAGCTTTGCACTTGTCTAGTTCTTTCATAGCTGCCCTTCTCAGTCCTATTCTTCTTCTTCTGATTTCCTGACTGCAATCTCTGTTCTGATCAATGAGTGACCAGAATTGATTGATCTGATTGATCAGATCAAAGTTTGGGAAATCCTTAACTATTTCAATTTCCTTGTCATCGGGATTGAATGTCTGTAACTCCTCTGTGATCAATTTACCATGCACTGTTGTATATGTCTATTCATTTGAGTTCAGTGGGACATATTCTCCAGATACATAGTTGTAGATTTGAGATGATGGTGATGGTGATGGTGGTGGTGATGATGATGATGATGATGATGATGATGAGAAGAAGAAGGCAGGATGGTGACAGCCTGTTTTTGTACTGCTACAAAAGCATTCCTATCCTACTTCTAATATGACTTAGGCATATTTTGTAGCATCGAAAACAAGCTCCAGAGTTGATCTCCTGCAGGCTCTGTCTCAGTGAAACTCTTGCCTCTAGGCTGCAGAAATAATCTGGTTTGGCCCCGATTTAACTGCCATGGCTCAGTGCTATGGAATTCTGGGAATTGTGGAGTCAAACTGGGTTATTTCAGCAGTGTGAATGCAGCCCTAATTTCTGTACGGATTCAGAAATGCCAAGAGCAGCATCTTCGAAACATGAAAGCAGTAGCTATTTCCCAGCCGTTGCCTCTGTTCAGACTCCTTTCCCCAGGCACATCTCCTGCCCTGGGGAGATGGCTCAAAGCCAGAAAGGTGATGCTGCCTGCTTTTTGCTGCTCCAGGAATTCTCCGCTGTAGTTTTTGACAAGGCTTCAAAGGTATTGTTCTCTCAAGACAGCAGATCAGCCTGAAGTGCCTACACAATACTGCTCCTAGCCTTGTTGTTCTTTGTTGTATAGACATGTCTCTCCCCTACGTCTTCTTTTTTTCTTTTTTAAATAAAGACTGTTATTCTTATCATTAATTTATGTGTAGAGCTCCATCAGTGTACATGGCAACATTAATGAGTAACAAGGCAACGATGCCTGCCCCGTTGAGTCGACTACAGCGTAGGTCTGAAGAAAGGGAATGAGAAAGAAAGGAGGGAAGGAGGAGTGAGCAAAGGCAATGAGAGATGGCTATGAGTAAATGGAGGGATATATCCAGAAGCTCCATTATAGCTGGAGTCAAGCATAGTGCTTTACACAAAAAGGTGGGTCTTTGCACAATTTATGGATCTCACCTATGCCATACAATCCTCAGTATCTTTGCATGTGTGTGTGTGCGCCTTCAAGACGACTGTTGACTTGACCATGAATTTTATAGGATTTTCTTAGGCAATGAATACTCAGAGGTGGCTTTGCCATTTATTTCCTCTGAAAGGGAAAAGCACCTGGTACTTGTTGTTGTTGTTGTTGTGTGCCTTCATGTTGTTTCTGACTTAGGGTGACCCTAAGGCAACCCTATCCTGGGGTTTTCTTGGCAGGATTTGTTCAGAGGAGGTTTGCCATTGCCTTCCCCTGAGGCTGAGAGAGTGTGACTTGCCTGAGGTTACCAAGTGGGTTTCATGGCCCAGCAAGGAATCGAACCGTAGTCTCCAGAGTCGCAGTCCAACATTCAAACGACTAAGCCATGCTGGTATTTATTACATATAAGTAAATACCACTGTGTTCAACAGGGTTGACTCTCTGATAAATATGTCTAGGACAGGGCCTGAAGTTTCTACTCAATGTATCATCAAATCATAGAGTTGGAAGAGACCCCCAAGGGCCATCCAACCCAACCTATTGCCATGCAGGAATACACAATCAAAGCACCCCCGACACATGGCCATGTGGAACAGCTCTTACTGTCAGGACGTTCTTCCTCATGTTGAGGTGGGATTTCTTTTCCTGCAGTTTGAATCCATTGCTCTGCGTCCTATTCTCTAGAGCAGCAGAAAACAAGCTTGCTTCAATATACATAAAACGTCTATATTTGCACACGTTTTATTGTGTGCATTGCTCAGCACACGATTGCCCCTGGGATAATGTGCTAAGCAATGCACACAATAAAACGTGTGCAAATATACACGCTTTAGGTATATTGGGCAGTCAAACCTGATTCTGTTTAGCTTGTCCAATCAGGTTTGCATGGAAAATGTTTGGGTGAAATTTGCTTATCATGTCGATGTCCTGCGTTTGAGCGTAACAGAGGAAGTGTTCAGTTGTAAACACCGAAAGGGAAGACTTGTTCAAACAAAAGCTATTTCTAGCAGCCTGCTGAAGCCATGGAAATGTGATAGTTGAGTGGCAAAACTGTGGTGCTAGAAATAAGACTGGAGACAGACCTTCAGACCTAACAAAGGCAGAAGTCAGTGTGAATAGAGGGCCATCTGTCTGAGATGCTTTGATTTTGAGTTCCTGCATGGCAGGGGGTTGGACTGGATGGCCCTTGTGGTCTCTTCCAACTCTATGATTCTATGATTCATTCGAGAGCCAGTGTAGTGTAGCTGTTTGAGAGCTGGACTATGACTCTAGAGACCAGAGTTCGAATCCCAGCTCAGCCATGGACCTGGGATGACCTTGGGCAAGTCACATGCTCTCATCCTCAGAGGATCACAAGGGCAAACTCCCTCTGAAGAAACGTGCCAAGGAAACCCCATGATACGGCACACAACAACAACAATAGAGGGTATTCCCTATTTCTTGCATGTCTGAAAAAAGGCATGTGAAATTTTGTACGGCGCAAATCTTGATCTTGGAATACAACAGTCTGAGATAAGTAACTCACATAAATCTGCAGAATCTGCCCTGTTTGTGTCGATGCAGAGTCTGCGGGATTTCGATAGCTTGCTAGACTGTCAAATATATGCCTTGTACCTAGAAATTCAAGTTCCAGTTCAAGGAAGCATGGCTGATGCTGCGGCCGACCAGATACATACATATTTCCATTTGTTCAGTAAATACTTTGAGACTCCCTGGTGCAGCCGTTCCAGCAGCGTCAAAGTACAGTACCTATGCATAGGTTGTAGGTTCATAATAATTTTAGGAAAGGTGATATTTTATGATGTTATGTAGACCTCAGAAGAAAGCCTTAAGAGTATGCGGAATCAAAAGTATGCCCTGGGCTTTTCTACCAATAAACATCTGGAGACATGTCTCTTGTTTCTTCTGTACATTTCCTTGGGTGCGCCCTAGTTTTTGATTCTTCTCCAGATGTTGGACCACAGCTATTTTGGGAACTGCAGTCTGACAACATCTGATGGGCCACAGGTTAAAGGATCACGGTGAAGGATCACAGTAAAGATCCATTGCCAGAAATGGTAGACCAATTAGTTGCCTTCAGCCTTCTCAGGTTTTAAGAGCCAGTTTTAAACCCCAACAAAAATGGGACTGACTTTTAAATTTTCAACACATTCCTTTGTCTTCCTTCAAAGCATACATCATCTGGCAGGTTTTACTTTTATTTTGTATTTTGACCATTGTTATGTATATACAGCATAATAATAATAATAATAATAATAATAATAATAATAATAATAATAATAATAAGCCAAATCTAACATCCCCAAAGATGCTGGAAAATTGTAACTGGGACAGAGATATTTTTCCCTAGACAGTTCTTTTGTTGTTACCTATCTGCCTTCTTTTCCAGCTTACGGAGATCCTATGGCAATTCTATCATGGAGTTTTCTTGGCAAGATTTGTTCAGAAAGGGTTTGCCATTGTCTTCTTCTGAGACTGAGGTCCAAGACACACTGCATAAACAATCCAGTCTGGCTCAGTGCTAGGAAATTCTGGGAGTTGTAGTTTATTGTGGCACCAGAGCTCTCTGACGGAGAAGGCTACATGTCTCAGAAAACTACAGTTCCCAGAATTCCCTAGCATTGAGCCAGGGCAGTTAAAGCAGCCTCTGAGAGAGTGTAGCTTTCCCCCAAGGTCGCCCAATAGGTTTCTATGGCTGAGTGGGGATTTGAACCCTCGTTTCCCAGAATCCTAGGCCAAGATTTAAACCAAAGAGGAGATTATACCTTTTTCATTTACTCAGGATAAGGAACAATTAATCTAGACCACTCAATTCTAGCCAGAAAGTGGATGCAGAGCAGAGTGGAGGGTGAACCCTGGCACCACAAGGATTGGGAATAATAGAGGAAACTAAGTATCAGCATAAACTTCCTGGGGAGTCTTTCTACATTGCAGCAAGAAATCAGTGGAAAGTTGCAAATTGTAGCAAGCTGCTGCTCTCTTAAGTGAGCTGGGAATTTGCACACAGTCCTTTCATCTCGCTTGGAGGGGGCCAAACTGGAGAATTTGCACCCTGGTCGGCTGCCTGGAGATGCTCCATGAAAATTGGAGACTCAGAGCCAGACCCTAAGATCTAGCAACGCTACGGGTTTCCCTTTGGTGCATTCGGTTGGGAAGATTGCCTAAAAGCAATTTGAACACAGTTATCTCTTATTTATTGTAACTGGTGGCAAGGAAAGATTAGCACTGTTGTGCTTTCCAAAAGAGAGAGGGGGAAAAGGCGCCAATGTATTTTGCCAATTTGATAATTTAGCATCTCAGCTCTTCGTTCTGCTGGCAGAGCAAATGAACAGAAGACACATCTTGTTTCTTTGGAGGCCTTCTAAGGCCCTTGCATTCACTTAAGCAATAACAGAGACTTTAAGACACACAAAAAAAAAAAAGAAAGGGGGAAAGAATGCTTTTAAATCCACAAATTGACCATCGGGCGCTGTAAAATTTTGATCTGAAGGGGGTTTGCTTTTCCAAGGCTAAATTTGAAACAGGCCCTGGTGCCATAGAGATAGTCTTTAATTTTTCTTGGAGTTTAACATCATGCTGCCGTTGCTCCGGAAGATGAAAATGAGAAGCTGTTTGTTCTTCTCAAAATTAGAGGAATCAGAACCGAAGGGTGGTCCAGGAGGCTGGAGAAAACAGGAATGATTTGTCAAACACCTGTCATCAGACTCTCCAACATTTCACCGATGAAAACTGGGATATGTGTGGCCAAGCAACATCCAAGTGTGGTCAAGAGAGGAAAAATTATGGAGGAAGAACATGCAAGCAAGGAGAGGCAGCAGCATTTTGCTTTTTCCTTGAACCCACTGGGAATGGCAAGATCTGACCTGCTTCCTCTTCTCATCCCCCTTGCGGAGTTCATTCAGGGAAAGCTAGTTTTGCACTTAGAAATCAGTTTGCAGCAACTGGAATAAGCTGAGAACAAAGAGGGAATGTCTGTAGAGGAGAGGGAAGGCACCAGCACTCTTTGGCAGGGAAGGCTAAAGACCTTATAAAACTACCGCTCCCAGGATTCCATAGGATGGAGCTGTCGTGGTGTGTCTTCCGACTTAGGGTGACCCTAAGGCTCATGGGATTACCTTTGCAAGATTTGTCCAGAGGAGGTTTGCCATGGCCTTCCCTTGAGGCTGAGAGCATGTGACTTGCCCAAAGTCACGCAATGGCTTTTCCTGGCCAACCTGGGAATCAAACCCTGGTCTCCAACACTCAATGGTGACTACAGCACTTAAAGTAGTGTCAAACTGCATTATTTCCACAGTGTGGATGCACCCTGTATTAGAATATATGAGCTCAGGGCTTCAGTTTCCCATTCTCTTTAGATTCTTGCCTGTAAGGGTGACAGACAGAAATGCATTTCTTTCCCTAAATAAAGTTAGATCCTTGATTTACCAGGGCTGATATTCTAGTTTTTCCTAAAGTTATAGGGGAAGAAAAGTCCCCTTCAGTAGCATTGGCTCTCCAGATTTTCAGGTGGGATTCTAACCCTATCTGGAAATCCCTGGGATTCCCTGATGGTCTCCCATCCATGTACTAACCAGTTTGGACTCAGCTGACCTTTCCAAATCAGACAAGATCTGATGCCTTCTGTATGGTATATACCAAACTGGACTGGTATTGCTACGTGCCTTCAAGTCATTTCCGACTTGCAGCATACAACTTCATAAGCATATGCATGCACCTTCAGTATAACGCGGTTTCATTCTTTCTCTCTTGCAGGGAACAAAATGGTAATTTTCCCTGGGAAGTTAGGGATCACCAGCAGAATTCTTGGAACACTTAGTAAACTACAGAAATGCCAGCAAACAAGTTTCCGTTGTGATTCTTTTTGCTGTGTTTTTGTGCTTCGGAGCATGTAAGGTACTGTGTGGGTGGACATAGAGAAACAGACTGTCAGTTTTTGAAATGCAAACATTAATTAAAGAAGGACCTAATTGTCCCCTGTTTAGATGGCAAATTATTCAGCTGTATTCAGAGAGAGAGCTAGAGAGAGGTCTGATCTAATAATATTTTACCCCTGCCTACCAGGGTTGGTGAACTTGAGCCTGTGAAGACTGTGAGGCTGCAGAAATAATCCTGGTTGACTCCACAATTCCCAGAATTCCATAGCACTGAACCATGGCAGTTAAAGTGGGGTCACATTGGATCATTTCTACAGTGTGGATACAGCCTACGACCAAGAGCTTCAATGAGACATTGCTTGTTTTCTGGAGCTTGTTTTCGATGCTAGAAAATAAGCCTAGGGCATGGGAAGTGGGATAGGATAGGAATGCTTTTGTAGCAGTACAAAAAGAGGGCTCTCAGCATCCTTTCTCATCATCATCATCATCATCATCATCATCATCATCTCAAATCTATAAAGATGTGTCAAATCTACAGCTATGCATCTGGAGAATATGTCCCAATGAACTCAAAAGAGACTTACCGTACTTTTGAATAGACTGCATAGTAAATTGACCACAGAGGAGTTACGGAAATTCAATCTAGGTGATGAGGGAACTGAAATAGTTAAGGATTTCCCATACCTTGATGTGATCAATCAGACCAGATCAATCAGTCATTAATGAGAACAGTCAAGAAACCAGAAGAATAGGACTGGGAAGGGCAGTGGTGAAAGAACTAGACAAGATCTTAAAGTGCAAAGCTGTTCAACCAAACACCAAAATTAGGATCATCCAAGCCATCGTATTTCTCATCACCATGTACAGATGTGAGATTTGGACGGTGAAGAAAGCCGACAAAAAGAAGACAAACTCATCTGAGATGTGGCGCTGGAGAAGAGTGCTAAGGGTACCATGGATGGCCAAATAAAGGAGTCCTGGAACAGATCAAGCCTGGACTCTCCCTGGAAACCAAGATGACCAAACTGAGGCTGTCATACTTTGGCCACATCATGAGAAGGCATAAGAAAAGACAATAATGCTAGGAAGGGTAGAGGGAAATAGAAAGAAAGGAAGACCGGGTACCAGATGGATAAGACTCAGTCAAGGAGATCATGGCCCTGAACTTGAAGACCTGAGCTGAGCACCTGAGGACAGGGGGTCTTGGAGGTGTCTCATTCATGGGGTCACCATGAGTCAAAGTCAACTCGAAGGCAGCTAACCACAATGAAGTTGGGTAGGATTTTTAAAAGTGCTTTTTCCATCCACCTACAAGTCATTAAGTTAGTTGAAGTTGAAGGTATTTAACTTTTGCAGTGTGGATGCAGCCTAAGTGTACTGAGAATGTAAATTCAAAGATATAGCCATGTTAGACTGTAGAATCAGAATGTAGAGAGATCTTGTAGCACCTTTGAGACTCACTGAAAGAAAGAAGTTGGCAGCCTGAGCTTTCGTAGACATACGTCTATATCCTCAGATGCATTTGGACAGAATGTAAAAAGTTTGTCGTGTTAAATCAAAGTGGAATTACTCCTAACTCAGCTCTCTATCTGTGCCATCATGGGCCAACCATATGCCCCAGGGGGACTGGCAAGCCTGACATGACGGTGACATCCATCTCTTCCTATTTATTCCAAACAACTAGTAACCAGGGGTATTGCATTTCTGCAGATGGAAGCTTTACTTTTATAAGTCACCGTTCGGAGGCAGTCGAGACGTTCAGGGGTACGGCTCCCATCGCTGTCTAAGGAGGCGCCAACTATCGATGGGCATCTCCAAAGTGCCAGCTTTCCCTTCTTTCTTTCTTGTTTAAATCTCTAAGCTGGATTTGGACTGGACAGCACTTTCAAACAGAAAATAGGCTTCTGTAAAATAAACATGGTCAATATCTCAGATTAAATTTTTGATTTAATTTTCTTTATCGTTCATCCACTTGCAGTGGCATGTTTTGGTGGCTCCTAGGATCATCCCAGCACTAGTTCTCTGCAAATTTTCTTTTCGAAACAAGCAACAAGTCATTTGAGCAATTTTAGCAAAGCATCTTCTGCATAGCCGGCAAACTGCTAGATGTCTAAATACATAGGTATTTAAATAAATGCCTAAATAATCTAAATACACCAGTATATAAGCCACTTTGTGGAGAGAGATGTACTCTGAAAAGTGGGTTTAAAATACTTCTTTGTAAATTTAAAAAAAATGGATGTTAATGGTAACATGAGAGGAAGACAATGCAGGTTTGATTCTTTTGGTAGCATCCCCACATTTTTGCTAATGTGAGCCGACGGAAGCCAGACTTACTCAGAAACCTTTCTTTTAATTGACTGGAATTAAGTACAAAAGTTCAGCGCAAGCCTCGTCTCATAAGAGGTTTATTATTCTCGCGTATAAATCTTAGAAATGTAATAATCCAGTACACTGTGCAAATGATATGCACTGGGGTTCCAATTCAGGTTTATTCCTTGGAAATGAAATTGCTCTGGCCATTACTCGCTCCCTGCAGAAAAGCCATTTGGGGCTAGTTTAGTAAGACCTGAATGGTTTAGTGCAAATGAAACCATAATTTTTGAGGATTTCTCATCTGGAGTGCAACTAGCTACTATACTTCTTCCCACTGCCCTTGCTGTCATTATCTTCCTCCCATCTTTTATTGATTCCATTGCTCTCAAGCTGTCGTCCAAAGCAAGTGGATTTTACTAAATCTATTTCTTGTCCCAAAAATACCTCTAAGTGTCATATCCTCCATGTAGCAAGCCTTCTGTATAACTCTTTGCTTAAATATAAAACTGTAATCCAGACCGGGAATGTATGGTCTTACATTTGCCCGGTCCAATTGCACAGTCGGATATCATTGTAATGGCCATGGCTGCATCCCATGGAATCCTGGGATTTGTAGTTTGGTGAGGAGGGTGAGCTACTTAGAATTATTTAGTGCACTTTCCCAAAACTACAATATTAGAAAGGGGGGAGGCAGTTTGGCGTAGTGGTTTGAGTGTTGCATTAGGACTCTGGAGACCAGGGTTCAGGTCCCTGCTCAGCCATGAAGTCATTGGGATACCTTGGGCAGGTCACATGCTCTCAGCCTCAGAGGATGGCATTGACAAATCTCCTCTGGACAAATCATGCCACGAAAACTCCAGGATAGGTTCCCTTTGGGTCGGCATAAGTCGGAAATGACTTGAAGGCACACAGCAACAATACCAAACAGCATTAGAGAGTGCTTTAGGAAATTAAAAATTCCAGGATCTCATTAAAAAATTGGTGCCAGGATAGTTGAACTGGTATCAGAATGCTCTAACTATGTCATATGGATACATCCTTGGAGTGGTGGAAATGGACAGTTACCTCCATATTATTTCTCTGGTATAATTTTGGGAGGTTTCACTTGTGAACCTAGCCAGTAGCCAGGGATAAAAAGGTTTCACCTGGTTGACAAAGTCATCTGTGTTCACAAAATGGCTTTGTGCTCCTCAAGCAATGAATAGGCTGCTTCTCTGCGAGTGGCTTCCAATTGGGGATATTTGAGGATCTTTGAAAACCAAACACTTTGGTGCTGTGTTCGAAACCCGCTTGTTAGCAGAGCACAAATGATGGACAAAAAGACAAGACGGCTTCCCAACAGTTTGCTCACAGTGGAATCTCTCTCTTTCGGGTCCCATTCAAAGGCTTTAAACATAAACGGCTGTCCTCCCTCAGCTCATTTTAAAACTTAGTGCAAGAATATTATCAGTGAGCTTTGAACAAAGGGCAGAGGTTGGTGTTTAATGAGAGGAATGGAGTCTCAAAGGGTTCCTTCTGATGGAATATTCATTAGACAAGCTGCCAGATGCGATGGTCCCCCGACAATAGATGAGTCCCATTGAATTTGGATGCAAAGGAAAGAGCGAAGATGGATTCTTTGCAGGGAAAAAACCCAAATGTCTGCAGGCTTTTATTTTCTCTAATAAATGCAGGGTTGTCTCACTGTACTCTTTGCTGAAATCGGGACTTCTGATTTGGAGCAGCTTGTTTTAAAAGTGCAACATTATGCATGTCTACTCAGATATTAAAATTCTTTAAATTTGGTAGGATTTATTCCCAGGTTAATAATAATAATAATAATAATAATAATAATAATAATAATAATAATAATAATTTTTATTTATATACCGCCCAGTGGCGGACCAATCTAGGCAGATTGCAGGCTGCAAGACCACTCCCCTACTTCTTTCCTCACCCCCCTGCCCCCCCAAAAAATTGGGACTCAAAGTGGTTTAAAAATGAAAACATACTATAGTTTAAAACCATATTATGAAAATGGATATTTTCTGAAAGTTGAGCTGAGCATTATAGATGCCCATTGTTCAGGTATTTTGCAAGTAGCCATTTTGGTCCATCCTCTTGCCTAATGGCAGATCTCATCGGAATGGAGGACATTTTGGAATTCCTTCTGGACAGAAGGTTGAAATGTAGGACATGTCCTGGAAAAGGAGGATGTCTGGTCACCCTGTATTATGATCAAAGGTCAGCAGAGGACATTGCATGGGCTGCACTTTTTATGCTCCTAGCAATATTTTATAAATATATGGTCAGAGTGAACCTAATACAGGTGCCACCAAATGTTTTCACGTGGAAATGGTTTTTAAATAGTACGCTTGCACAGTTGCAATGGTTCTACTAGTAGGGTAAGATCCAGTGTAGCTCCTTCACATTTAACCGTTGCTCAGTGATGCAGTCGAACCCGCAAGGATGTGAACCAGCTGCTAGCCGAAACGGCTCTATAAATTAGTTGATTGCTGTTTTACGACTTGTGTTACCCAACATTGTGCCGAGAAGATGAGATCTCTGCAGATAATTGCCACACCAACCCTGTTATTAGGTTGGCTTTGAAACAAAAGGCTATCGGCACACGGTGGTGCAAACAGTGTGTTCTGGTTTGTGCTGCACCTTATGAAAAAAACAGCCCCACTTGAGAGACGGGAAAGTAGAAAGGTTGCTGTGATTCTAAAAGATGAACCTCTGCAAAGAAGGCTACAAGGAACAAATGTAGTCCTTCCAGATTTGCTGGGGTTAGGGGTGAAGGACCCCCTGGGAATGTAGAAAAACTGCAAATAACAAAAACACTCTTCTTTTTACCTAAGACAACACTGCTCTAGGAATCTCCAGGTCCTCCAATGCAACTCTGTGTCAACATCTGGCAGAAGCTGATCCTAGAATCATGCTGGAGGACCTACAAATGCCAGAACTTCTAGGTTCTCCAGCACAACTCTATGGCCAGCCTCTGGCAGACGTTGATCATAGAATCGTGCTGGAGGACCTACAAATGCCTAGAAAAGTGTTCTCTCTAGGAACTTCTAGGTCCTCCAGCACAACTCTGTGGTCAAATTTCAGCAGAATTGCAGTGGAGGACTTAGAGATTCCTAAAGAGAACATATTAATCAAAAGTGCAAACAATCAAATCTGCAAAAGTCAAAGCCGCAAATGTGGAGGGCCAACTGTAATCTTGTCATTTAAGACTTCAGGCAGAATTCTGATCTATGGAATTGCCTTGGATAGCTCCTTTAAAGTCCATACTAAAACCCAGAGAAAAGTCACCATGCCACTAATATGGGAGCCACTACATGCGATGTGACCTCCATAGTGCACACACATGGATGCAGAAGAAACCAATATTTTGGAAGCCGTGGAACCAAAAGGCTTTTAAATGCAAGGAGTAGCAGTAGGCTACTATGAGTTTTCTATGCAGAATGCAAAGACAGAGGTTGGAAAAGTTACTTCTCGGGGTGAGGCGTCAACTCTCCATGCTGGCAAGGGAACTTGGACACTGTCATCCAAAATGTGGAGCTTTTGCAAGCCCTGTCCAAAGGTATACAAGATATGAATACAATAACCATTCATGTTATCAGTCATGGAGACAATCAATCAATCAATCAATCAACTAATACTATAATGCAAATTTAAAAGTGTGGGTATGCTAATTAACCAGAGGTTGAGTATCCTTTAGCCAGAATTCTGAATTCTGAAATAATATAATAACAACAATTCCCAAAATTCCATAGCATTGAGCCATGGCACTTAAAGTGGCGTCAAACTGGATTATTTCTGCAGTGCAGATGCAACCTCAAACTTCCAGATGCATTCTCATTCTTCACTTGACATTTAAGTCGAACATTCAAGCCATCCTGTTTGCAATCAAGGAGGTATCAACTTTTTAAAAATATAATTTATATGGAGACAAAGTGGACAAATGTTTGGATAGAAAACCCTTGGCTCGATGGCCGGTTTCAGCTGCAGCCGAGTTGCCACTTGGCCAGTTTTGAATAAGCTTTGCCATTCTGTTCCCCTTGCAGCTGGCTTTTTTCCCTTTCGCTCAGCCTCAAATGAGCTAGGCAGCAGGCCATGGCAGATTTGCATATATTTAAATAGGGAGCAGCTGGAAGGATATACTCTTAGGAAAACCAAAATGTAAAAATAAAAATGAACAGCTTTTATGGCACCTCCCTACAAATCCATATAAACCAGAGCCAGCATTCTACTGCAAGCATATGATGTCAATGAACATGCTTAGACCAGGGTTCGATTCCCAGCTTGGCAAGTCACACACTCTCAGCCTCAGGGGAAGGCAATGGCAAGCCTCCTCCAAACAAATCTGGCCAAGAAGACCCCATGTCGTGGTTCGAATGTTGGACTATGATTCTGGGGACTGAGGTTCGATTCCCAGTTCAGCCATGAAACCCACTGGGTGACCTTGGGCAAGTCACACTCTCTCAGCCTCAGAGGAAGGCAACAGCAAGCCTCCTCCGAACAAATCTTGCCAAGAGAATCCCACAATAGGTTTGCTTCAGGGTCACTATTAAGTCGAAAATGACCTGAAGGCACCCAACAAGAATAACAAAGGTTTGCCTTAGGGTTGCCATAAGTCAGAAATGACTTGGAAGCATACAACAACAGCAACAACAATAACAATGTGGGGATATGTGGCCCTGCAGTTCTTTGATTCATGCGATTGAAAGAGCCATTTAATCCAATCCTGTGCCATGCAGAAATACACAACTAAAGCACTCCTGAAAGATGCCCATCTGACCTCTCTTTAAAGACCTCCAGAAAATGAGACTCTTATCAGCCTCCAAGACTGTAGCTCCCATCATCCTTCATCATTGCTTATGCTAGGTAGAACTGACAGACGTTGTACCCCAACAATATCTAGATGGCTTCAAGATCTCCCAACCCAAATTTTGAGTCCTTCACTGACATTATATAGAAGAGCGTGACCCATAGCACTATTGTTCCTATAAGAACTTGGTGAGGATAATTTAATGATAAAACAAAGACAGTCAATGGAGCTTGTGCATCACTGCTACTCACATCCGGATGGCCTTATATATTTAATTAATATTAAGACAATATCTAATATCAGGGATTGGTCAGAACACTGGGAGACCAAGCAAATGTGGATTTTAGGTTGCATCCACACTGCAGAAATAATCCAGGTTGAGACCCCTTTAAGTGCCACGGCTGAATGGTATGGCATCCTGGGATTTGTAGCTTGTTCTGGCACTCTGGCAGAGAAGGCTCAATGTCTCCCAAAACTACAGTCCCCAGAATTCCATAGCCCTGAGTCGTGGCAGTGAAAGGAGTCTCAAACTGGATTATTTCTGAAGTGTGAATGCAGCCTTAATGAACCATGGGAGAGAATCCTGGCTACACATTTCCCAAGGGGCTAGGAACATACTTTTAGTTAAGTTTGGGTTTTTTCTTTTTAAAAGGTCAGAGCTGGAAAATTTAGAAGGAAAGCTTTTAGTATCTCTTGGGAGTTATGATCCCAACCTTGCCTCATCTCATGGTTATAGGTTTGGAAAAACAGGGAACAAAATTATACTAATGAGCGTGAATTTAAAGCTAAAGGTTGGAGCATCGGACTAGGACTCTGGAGACCTGGGTTCGAATCCAAGCTTGGCCATGAAACTCAATCCAAGTGCATGGCCTTGGGCAAGTCACATACTCTCAGCCTCAGGGGAAGGCAACGGCAAA